TCTTAAAGGAGCTACTATAGTACTGTAAGTTAATCTGTTATTTATTTTATTTCCTTTCTGAGTACATTTTGAACACCCATTTGCAGAAGTATGGCCAACCGTTCCTGTTACAAATGCTTTGGCCGGAGCATCGCAAATAAATATTCTAATATATAAGTTTCTGCATTTTTCATTTATTTTAATACCAGAATTTTGTAGAACCTTATACTCTTCAACGAAGTTATTTAAATATTGTTGAACATGGTCGGGTTTTCTACTTCCTAAATAAGCTCCAATTAGAAACGGTGAAATTTCTTTATGAAATGAAATCGCTCCCATGATAGGCCATAATGTCTGACTCGAACTTTTAAAGATGGGCAAACCATCTATGTATATATCAATGTAAATTGTTTCAATCGAATCAACCAGCTTTAATTTTAATGCTTTAATACTGCGTTGTAATCCAAAATGATAATAAATTCCTGGTGGAACATTGATGGTTGTAATTTTATCGCATTTTAAATCAACCAGTGTTTGAATAGTGGTTGGTATATTGAGACCTTCTTTAACTAATACGTTTAACAATTCATTACAAGCCTTTCGTCTAATTTTATGCTTAATATACCAATTCACTAGCTCGCTTGAAATAATTTTATTTTCTGAATGAAGGTAGTTTTCATGAACTTTTTTTTGAATTAATAGTTTGTGATTCCATTTCGATATTAGAGTACTCATCGCATCCTATATTTTTATCACGATCAGCCTCAATTTTTTTTCTCACTAAACGCAGAAATTGTCTGGAAGTTACGACACAATTATCAAAATTTATTTTTTTTTGAATTTATGTCTTCTGATTGATTTTTTGAATCATTGGGATATTCTTCATTGCTTGTAGTTTGTTCAGAATTAATAACACCCTCTGCTGCTACTAAGCGCCGAAAATGTCTTTTGCTTACACCACAGATTTTTTTGCTCATTTAATTTCTTAGAATTACGAAAATATAATAAAATCCTACAGAACTCTAAAATTTGTGCAACAGGAACAAGTTTAACAATGTATTAGAATAAGAGTTATTAGATTTTTATTTTATGTTATCTCTTACTACTATTCAAGAAACATGCATTGTGGGGCTCAGAAAAAAGTGGCCTAACCAATTATTTAATTAAATTCTATACAAAATTTTTAGTTCAATTTCAATCAATCAACAATTCAGTTTTGACTTAATTCTTGAACCTGGCTAAATTTAATATCAGTGATAAGCTTCCTTTTTTATTAAGATTTTCATGAACGTTTACAAATAAACCTTAAAATTACAAGATTCAAGATTTAAAATAAAAAGATGTAAATTAAATTGAATTAAATTTTTTTATACTTCGATTATTAAAATTAAAAGCAAGTAGTAATAGTTTCTAGATTCCTTCCTTAGAATTAATTCACAATGAATTACTGTTATATGAATTTGTAACTAAAAATATTGTGTCAATGGTATCCATTCGGAATGGATTACAGGCAGCATAAACAAAATATTTAAACAAAATTTTTTAATTTTCAAAGATTTAAAACAAATGTTGCCAAAAAATTTATATATTACCAAATATTTTAATTTATTTTAACTAAATGCAACAAAATTAATGTAATTAATTATTTTAAATGTAATATACAATTAGCTTATAAAAATAGTAAAAATACAATCACTTACCAAATAAATTTCAAAACCGAAAAATTTATAATGAATTTAAAAATTACGAACTTTTTGAATATATCTTTTGCTCCATAAATTTAATGAATAACTTTTTGGTTCCGTTTTTTTAAAATCACGAATTCAACTTAATAATTTTTAAATACTTTTTTAACAAACTTAAAACTTTATAAACACTTAGCCACTGAAAATTCAAATCGAAACTAATTCAGTTCTTCTTATAAATTTTTGTTTCTTTTTCATCTAACTGTATATCTCGCAAACAATTTTGCATCGTGTTATGACATGATAAAAAAATCTGATGTGGTCAGCACATAACCGACCGCATTGTGTATTGTCTAGTTAAATGAAAGTGTTACAGAATATTATAAAAATGTCTGTTAAATACTTCTTTCCAATTTTTAGGACATTAGTAAGCTTATAGTTAACATACTTAGAAAAATGTAAATTTGGCTCTTAGTAGAGTTTCGCTTTGTGCTACCCGAATTCCCTGAAATTCTCGCCAGTTAGTTTCTGTAACAACCAGAACTCAAATATCAAATTTCAAGAAATTCCATCAATTTGTTCTGTGGATATGGTGAAAAATGTAAAATCGGCCCGCAAATCAGTTCTCGAGCCCTGATCTTTCCAAAAAATTTATATGTTCATTGCTTTAATATGAGGAATTCATATATTAAATTTCAATGAAATCGGTTGATTATTTCTCTTTATATACACAAAAGTGTATGTTTGGCCCGTAGTAAACGTCTAGTTGCCGATGCCTTATTTCTTCCAAAACATAGGAATTTTCGCGGACGGTCGAGCTGAGCTTATATATAAAATTTCAAGTAAGTCGGTTGAATATTATCTTCAAAATGTTCAAAAATGTAAAACAGGCCCGCTAAAAAGTGCAGCTCCCGAGGCCTGATATATACCAAAAGTTGATCGATCCGTGCCATGGTGGAAACAAACTTACATATTAAATTTCATCAAAATCGGTTCAGCCGAACTTGAGATACACGCGTGCACACACAGACCGACAGACGGACAGACCGACAGACGGACAGACCGACAGACGGACAGACCGACAGACCGACAGGTTGCTAAAACTAGTTTATTTACACTTTCCTACTATGGAGAAGTACGTTCCCACCGAAAACTCGATATGCAAAATTTGTTGCCATCACATAACCTACCTATTGTTTACACAATACGGTCGGTAAAAAGACGAATTACGGGGAATGAAACTCGCACGTATCATAGACACATTACCAGTACAAAATTTTACAATATATCATAACGAAAAAAAACCTTGCTTCCAAAAGCATTACTAAGTATCAATCTTGAATGCATCGTAAGTCCATCTCTTTATGTTTTAGCATAACTAGAAAAACAAAAAAAAACAAAAAAAACTTTTGCTTCGAAAAGCATTACTAAGTATCAATCTTGCGTCTATCATTTATGCGTCATCCGTAAACAATATTGCTTCGCATAACGAAAAAAAAAAGAAAAATAAAAAGAAAGTCGTTTTTCTTCCAAAAGCATTACTTAGAATTGAACTTGCATCCTTCATAAAGCCGTTACCCGTAAGAAATTTGACTTCGTGTCACGAAGACATAAAAACAAAAAAAAAAACAAAAATCTTCTGGAAGCTTTAAAATTCAACAATCTTGCATGCATCATAAATACATTACCCGGATTTTTTCTTCGAAGTCTATGCTTCTTTTCTGCTTCCCTTCCTATGGCTTACCAAATTTTCCACTGGGGCTGTATGAAATAATATTTTCTGTGTATAGGCATAATATACGAATTTATACTAGTATGTATGTAAAAGGAAAAATTAATAATTGCAATTCTGATGATTCATACATTGAAAAAAATATTTTGTGTATTCGTACAATAAATAAAAATAAAAGAGTAGTGTAGAGTAAGAAAATGTATCAATAATTTTCATTCTACAAACATTTCATTTTTTATATTATTAGGAATAAAATATTATGTTTGTATGTAGGTACATTTTATCAAGTTAATTTCGCTGTAAATTGAATTAAATTTGTATTAAAATTTTTTTTTTTTTAAATTTATGGTTTTTTAAAGTTTTTAATGGCGCCCCTCCCTTTTTGTCGCCCACTGCAAATGCATACTTTGCATATATGAACCGGCCGTCCCTTTATAGATCTAATATTTGGGTTTGTATATAGTTTAAAAAAATTAATTTGAGCTAAGAAATCTCTGCTTGAAGATATTGTATATGTAAAGAAAAACAAAGTGCTAACCATTTCAAAAATTAGAACGCATTAAGACTATTTTAGTTTTTTTTTATAGAAACAATTTTTCAAGTTCTTTTGGAGGACTCAACAGTTTAATCGTGTATCTCGCTTTTTCATTTCACTTTTTATTCACTTCCAAATGAGAATTTCCCGTTTTTTCTAATGGATATTTCATTTTTCAAATAAGATTACTAATTTTTTTCAATTGGGTTTTTGCATTTTGTCTCAAATTATTGTTTGAATGTCTCATCTTTATAAACAAAGTGAAAAAATTTTGTATTCATTTTAGAAAAAAACGGGACAAGCAATACGGAATAATTCTTCTCTGTCATGCATATATGATAGCAAGTCACTTTCTTCTCACTTGGCGAGTAAAATTTCCGATCAGGTTTAATGAAATTTTATTTGATGACGAATCACAAAAAATAAAATTGTAGTTAATTAACTGTCATAAATGATGATGTCATAAATGAATAAATTATTATTTACCAAGTATAATTTAATATATGTATGTGTATTAGCTTTACATACGTATGGATATTACCTAATATAATTACAACCTGTTAACTTTAATTTTTCAAATATTGCTTAATTTTTTTAAGAACTCCGTGCAACAAAATTAATTGCTGATCTTGTTATATGTACATATGTATGTACGCGTGTATCGTGTAAGAGGTTTTGTCAAAAAGACAAAATGATTCAACAAATTTCTTAATGTTTTCATATAAAATTAAAATTATTTGCCATTTTATGCCTTTATAATCCGATTAATGTTTGCTCAAAGTTCAATATATAAATGTAAGTATACATGGTATGCAAGATAACTGAATAATTTTTTTAAAATTACGTATCGTAAAATTACGTATATGTAAGTGTGTAACTCATACGGATTTTACAATAATTTTTATCTGAAAACGCGCCCTTATTTCAGCTTAAGCATGAGCATAAGCACTTACTATAAAAAACTATATACTATATTTTTTTAATTTTTGTTTATGGAATATGATGTTATTACTTAATCAAATATTTTATATATGCATACATATTACATATATAGTCATAATTTACTCACGTGTTTTCATCATAATATCCTGTTTTTTTTCTATCAGCACAAATTGAACTCGAATTACCCATATTCAAGGATCTTCAAATAATTATTGTGTAATAAAAACTTTATAAATATTTATAGAATCTCTAACAATCAATTTTTTGATTTTTATTTTGATTTTGTTACATAAATATATTTTTTTTTTCGTTTGTTTTGTTTTAAAAGCTTTACACTATCATATTTTTAATTTCACGCTTTATTACAGGTGTTCCATTAGGTTAACTAAAATTAAATTTGTTATAAACACAATGTTATTTTAATTCATTTATTGTTTTATTTTTTGTTTTCTATATTATAAAGTGCCTTTCACTTTAGTTTATTTTAAATTGTTTTTTTGTGCTTTTCACCTTAAATGCTATAAACAAACGTTAATAATGTTATAAGTTTTTATAAGATTATTGTTTTAATGAAAATTCTCATGGTAAATATTTTTAATAAGTACTTACATATATGTATATATATATGTATTTATAATATTATTTATACATTTAACAAAGTAAGAGCAAATATAATAGCTTCCAGCATGGTTAAAATTTCAATAATATAATTTTATAATTCTAAAAAAAATTTGTTATAAAATACAAATGGACTATTTCTAGAAGGTAGACAAAAAAACGAAATGTGTGTTTTATACTTATGAATTCGTGTTTAAGTGGAAGTGAGTACAAAATATTTGTTTTTGGTTTTTAACTTTTTTTTTTATTTTCTTCATCGTTTCACATTAATGTATTTTAATTGTTTTAACTCTTTAGTAATGAATCATATAATATAATTGTAGTTGTAATATAATATTGGTAGCAAAATTTATAATTCTTGTTTTTAGAACAGTGTTGTTTAATAAATTGAAGGTGATTGGTAACAGTGACGTTCGAAAATATTTGCCTAAATGAGATTTATATACATATTTTATATTGTATAAGCATTTTTAACTTTTAAGTAGTTCACTATCTGTACGTTACTACTAAGTGAATTTTCACTGAAAAATTTCAAATTATAAACTGATTTTGTAATTCTACGATATTGAAATCTAATAATTTAGTGTACAAGATATAATTATATATATAAAAGTGGTTAAAAATTTAAAAGATTAGTTTATTAAATTTATTTATAGAGAGTACTAATTTGTATACTTATAAATTTTATGATTAATCACTTTTTTCATCCGTCTAACAGGCTAGGAGTCGCATTTTATTTTCATTAAAATTATTACGGAAATTTACTACCTACAATATTATATAATACAGTTTAAAATTATAATTTTTTAATATATAAATCTCCAAAAAATAGACATTAAACGAAATTTCTTGTTTTGGAATTAAGTAAAATTAAGTTGTTTCACATTAAGTTTCGCCTTAATGTGAAAAGGTTCTCTAACACTGAGTCAATGTATGAGTGTATAACATTTAGAATATATTACATGTACCTACATAAATAAAATTATATTCCGGTTTTACTACATTTGTGTAATGGTAGAATTGAAACTATTCTCAACTCAACATTTATATAATACGATTATACTCAACATTTAAATAATGAATTTATAACAAAAAAAATAAAGTTGGATCAAACCAATGGTTTGTAATGTGGCACTTTCCCCTTGAACAATTAAAAATGCTGTTTTTAACAACAATCTATGTACTATATTATTAAAATTACTCTCCTATATATACTATATTTCAATGATTGCATAAATTTAGGATGAGTATTTTTGTCAACTTTTGAAATAAAACAAAAAATCCCTTAAATGCTCGCATTTAAGGGTTAATTGCGTGATAATTTTTAATTTCATTTATACGTATAATTTTAATGACATTGATAATTATAATGGCATGAAAAGCTTACAGTTTCGGAAGTATAAGGTGCCAAAAATTCGAATTTTGCAAAGTTCGAGAGGCGATAATTGCTGAAGTTGCTAAAATTTCAGATTCCGACAATTTGAGGTCTAGAAAAAAACGATATCAAAAATTTGGGAAAAACTGATTTTAGATAACGGTCAATTTTAACAACCACTTTGCTTTTTTAAAGTCTAATTACTGTATTCTGCGGTAGAAGAGTCAGTCAGTACTTTTCTGCGTTTGGTAAATTTGGTAGGTAAAAATTTTTTTCTTCGGAAGTGAGTTTCTAGTAAAGATCTGTGTATGAAATTTTAGCTTTCTTTCATCAAGGATATATAAGTTTTGTAAACATATCCGCGGGCTGACGGACATAGAGAAAGAAACTAATAAGAATTTTTTTTTATTTTTTTTTTGAAAAGTGCTAAAAATCAATATAACAACTTCTGCAAGTGACAGGCACTATACATAAATTATATGCATGTATGCATATAAACAATTATATAATTAAATAATTATTATATAGAAAATTCTAATAAACTTTATCACGAAATGATAGTAAATACCTATGTTTGTATAAAATAAAAAAAAACATAGAATGAAAAAGCTACTTAATTATATAAATAAGTTCATGAAGGACGATATTATAAAAATAATATCGTCCTTCATGAACTCAGGAATTACTCTGCTTATAACAAGAAAATAATTATTGACTTTAATTACCTGCAGTAACACTAATATGTATCTCATCTATAATTCTGGATATTACAATAAAACATTATTTCGGATAATAAAACTTTATGAAAAGTACTTTTTATTAATATTTGTTTTTATTATTTGGTAGTTGATATGGGAAAAATCCAGTTTTATACGAGTATTTACTAAATAGTAAGTTTTTAATGTTGATATCCAAAGGCGAACTTTGAAAAAGGTTATTCATCAATGAACAAAACAGCCCATCTAAACAGTCGTGTTTGCCACATTTCTTTGCAGTCTGTAATTTAACTTGCTAAATATTTTCGGAATACTAATTTTCAGTTACATAATTCATTAAATCCCAGCTGCTAATGAATACTAAAATAGGAGCATATAGCGTATGCTCAGGGAAGTAAGTAGTTTGTTAAACAAGTTCTGTATCACTCAGGTCTGCCATTCAAAAAGGAGAAAAAAAATGAAGATTAAAAAAAAGTAGCACAGTTATTTTACATAAAGATAAAAATTAAATACTTTATCCATTTTATAGTGATAATCTTTTGATAAATTATTTTTGATAAAACATAATTGGGGAAAAAACACGTTCAATTATAATAGGAAAAAAGGTTTATATGTTAGCAAAAAATATTTATACTATTTATGTTAGCAAAAAATCATTATAAAAAGACCTTTGCCTTGCAACCATGGGGTTGTGCCAAGTAAACACACATCAAGCAAATATGAACTTTTCAGAACAAGGTCCTTCGTAATATTATGGGTGCTCTCTGGTAAAGATCTGGGTATCCCCAAAGTAAGTGATTAAATAAGGAACTGTGCCATGAAACTTAGAGTGCGTTGGGAACCGAATGTAAATGTCGAGGCTTTTCAACTTATAGGGGAAGGGGTTTGAACTGAAAAACTGAAGTGAACGAGACCTCTCGAATTAGTCTCCTTGCCTCCCTTCAAGGAAAACATTAATACTAATGGTTAGTCAGTTTGACTAGTTTTAGTAGTTTAAGACCATCCACTTGCGTTTTAGACTGGGTTAAAGTCCCTCACTATTGATAGGTCTTATGACAGTTTGGGTCCGCCTATTTTTGTCTTTCGATGGTTTTTAATACCTGTATTAAAAAAAAAATTATAAATAGAACCAAAAATTACTTAATTTTCGTTAATTAAACTTAATAAAAAAAAAGTAGCGCTTCGTAGTTGGGTTAGTGTATTTTCATTAAAAAGAAAAATTGTTAGTAAAAAACTCAGACAAAGTTCAGAGTTACACATCAATCTATACTGGTATTGATAGTCGAGCAAAAAATTTTGAATTCTTAGAATTCTTTCTTAATGATCGGGGTTCACACTTTTAAAAGAAAATACGTACGAGTACAATTAAATTCTAAATTACTTTTTTTATTATTGACTTCGTTATAAAGAGCTTGCAAAGATATACGTCTGTCCATATAACATACACAACGTTATTTCGAATATATTATATACTTAAGGAAAAAAATTACTATAAACTATTACAAGTAAGAATAACTTTTAATGTTATAAACTTAGCTATGAATTAAGAACGTGAAATGAAATTTTTTAAAGTGCCGATATTCCAATAAATCTGATGAAATTACTCTTTTAATCGAACTTGAGGGGGGTCTTAAAAATAGCTCGAATTACAGAAATTTGAAATTGTAAAGATCTAGTCTTTAGTCTAGTTTTTCAAAAAGTGTCTATTGAAATCTAAATTATAAATTGAACAAGGAAATATGTTCGAATTTAAAGACCTTGTTTTTAGAGTGTATTTTGTTAGTAATTTGTGTAACTTCAGCATTTCATATTACTAATAAGATTTTTCTGGAACTTTGGAAACTAAAATCAAATATCTTATTATTATTACTTGATATAAATATTAAGACCTTAAAAGCAACTTTCCAATTCTTAAAAAGAAAATGTCATTTCATATTTTTAAATTTTATTATTATTTGAAATCGAAATTTAAATAATAATAAAATTGTAATATAAAATATATTTTTAATTATTTCTTTAAATAAACAGTTTTAAGAAAACAATGCATTTTGCAAAATTATTTAAAAATCAATTAACATGCGAATTGAAATTGTAATAAAATATATATTATGCGCTTTGTTACTTATATAAAGCACATATGCTGTTTTAGAGGAATTTTTAAAAACCGACCATATAAAAGTAGATTGATTTTTACGGAAAATACACAATTTTCGGAAAATTGATATAGTGTAGATATAGTTAACATTAAAACGAAAATTTAAAAAAATAATTAATATTTAATATTAATTATTAAATGTTAAAAAAATGGGATTGAAATTTACAATATTATTACTGACGCTTTTAACATTCATTTACAATTGTTGCAAGTATAAATAAAATATATATATTATTCGAATTCTAAATTAGAATAGGAAAATTTTCGAAGTTAACGATGTTCTTAAAAATTAGAATTATTTCTTGGGCCTGCAATTTTAAGTTCACTTGCACTATTAATTAAATTTTCATTACAATTTTTAAAAATTGCAAAAGTTACATTGAAGAAATATGCAATTTTTTTTTCTTTTGAATTACTAAAATTAATTTGCATAAAAAAATCTTGTTTCTTAAGAAAAAGCGGTCTTCTACTCAATACGAAGTATATTGTCACAGTTAAAATTTTTTCTGGGCAAATAATTATTTTATCTATACCAAAATCATATAAAAATTCCGGAAAAATAATTATTAATATACATATATCTAATTTTAACTTATAATATTTTCTTTATAAGTAGATGCCCGCCAAAATTGCACAGCTAGCATTTATGCAGAGCAAAACAATCCGAAGGTATGGCCAGGACCATGTCAATATGGAGAATATCAATCACCAATTAATATTCCAAAGAAGGTATAAAGTATGAAAGTTTGAAAATAACGTAAAAATAAAAAAAATGACTTAAGTTAAGTTAATTATAATTATTTAATTTGAATATTTTCTAAAGCCAAGATCGACTATATCGTCAATTGATTATAAAAAATTTGATCAAAAATTGGGAGAAGTTGGAATAATAAATATCGATTATTTACGTAAATGCAGCATGTGTCATTTAATAAAAATAATATGTTAATTATTTGCATTATTTTGCAGTTCAAGGTTATTTTCCGAAATTTGCAATTGATCGTACTCCACCCATTGTTGTATATAGAGATAAAGAAATTGCATTAAAACAATTTGATATACATTGGGGTTCATCTGAACATTCAATTGATGGAACATTTTACGACGGCGAAGTTCATTTATATGGCATTGATGTTCGTGGGCATATACCAATTATTCTTGCTGCCTTGCTTAAGGTAACAAAATTATAACTATACTCAATTACATAACATGCAAATTTTATTTATTACAGTTTAAACATAATATATACAATGTATAATAAATTTTAATTTTTAGAAAACTGATAATGTAAATAACACGCTCAGTAGAGTAATTAAATTGGCTGAGAAAATCAATGCAACAGACCAAGTAGTTATAGGGCAATTTCCAGATTCAGATGTTTTTTCCTTTCTTAGTGTTGAGAATAGACATGAATATTTTTTTTACGAAGGTGAATTGATTTATGATGTTTTGCAAATAATACCCAATTTTTATATGATTCAACATTTTATAGACGGCTCGCAAACTCATCCAAAATGTATGCCACAGATTCCATATGTAGTATATACCAGTTACATTGAAGTTGACAGAGAAGCGGTAAATTTTAAAAAGTTTCATTTAATGTTTAAATTGAACTGACTTAATTTTAATCAGTACTTTAATTTTACTTTGGATTGTAGATGGAGAATCTGAAGAAACTTAAAGACAGCAAGGGCAGACTGATAACCTGCAATTATAGAAATATTCAACCAATTAACGATAGGTCTATTAGAAAGAGATATGTAAGGAAGTAATCCCTAAATGAAAATCGCATTTGATTCTTTCTTTAATTGAAAACATAGTAATAATATCTGCACCGTATATAGAAATAAAAACTAATTATTCAATATAATTATTGAAAATGTCTTACATTTGCAATATGTTTTTCGTTAAAGATAGTAATATTCTCAAAATAAAAATTTTAACTCAATGAATAAGGGTGTACTTAAAGAACTTACACTTTGTTTAACTTAGTAAGTATATGGCTATATTCGAGATTTCAGTACTGTGTGGTTTCAATATTTTCTAAGACATAGGCGGTCAATTATTTCTGATGTACCTATATTAAATAGGGTCCCGTCTATGTAAATAGTTAACAATACAACGTGTAGTTTTTAATAATTTTTTTATTATTGTTTCTTATAACAATAGCTAATGGAAATTTCTTCATACATCTGCAGAACAGATAGATAACGTAATCAAAGGGCCGAGTCAAAACAGAGAAATGTATTGAAAAAGCTTTCTTTTCGAACTGGACTCGAACCAATGACCTACTGCTTTCTAGGCGGACGCTCTACCAACAGAGGTATGAAGAAATTCTCGAAAATATTATTCTTCACATTGCTTTATACTGTAATTTACATGATTACTATATGTGTTGTTTACTAATAGAATATTGCATCCTTCACATCTTATACATCTTTTTCTTAAGTGTATAATATTGTTTTAACCAGTAAATTTAAGATGAGATTTTAATTAAGTTCTGAAGATTTCGGAATGTAACATGCTTTGCTTTTTCTTGTAACAAAACTGTGTATTTTTAATAAATTCGATGTAAAATATGGAATTCAAAATATGTTGATACCTTTAAACTGGTTTGATATACATGTGTACATATCTACATTTATGTATATTACAATCGTTACGGGATTAAGTAAATAAACCTTCAAGTATTTAATTATTTTCATTTAATTACTGAATGAGTAAGTATAAATATATTTAGGATTTCAAATTTTTGGATGTACCTGGATTTTATTAAATTTTGTTAACAAGTTTTTGATTGATAGATTTGATTGACAGATTGATGTTTATTAATTTTATAATTTTTCTTTAAAGACTTATTTTTATGAAATAATGAAAAATTATCATAGTATCTTAATGGCGCAATATGTACATTGTTGTGGATATTCTTGATATATTAAAGTTAAAAACTAACACACAAATAAATTTCCAAGAAATTTTTAGAAAGTAAATATTTGAATCTGATGATATGCCTTCGAATTTCGAATAAGATCTATTTAAAACGAGTATTAGAAATTACTCGTTTATCCGTATAGTACATTATACAACAAAATTTGTGCAGAGTATTACGAGTATAAAACTTTGCAATATAAAAATTTTTTGACTCGGGTGGAGTGAAGAATGAGAAATTATTTTTATTCCTTTTATATAAAATAATATTAGTAAATCTGTCATATTCATAGTGACGCTTCCGTAAGCCGAAATCGTTTAATACATAAAGAACAAATAAAATCGCAAGTTTAATATAAAAGAAAAGTGAAAAATAAAATTTCGTTTCGCAGCGGTTTTCACTTAAAGAACTTCGTTTTATGAGTACTAGACTAGTACTAGAGTGTATTTCACAAGACACTCAAAAATATCATTGGAATAAAATGCGAAAATTTATGGCAAATATTATATTTAATAAAATATTATATTTAACTTAAAATTTGTTCACGTGTCGCTATTTTTTACTTAAATATATTTAATGAAAAATTCAAAAAAGAAAATATTCTGTTGTACTTTGAATTTGTTTCAGTACATAAAGTATACTTTAATTTTGAGGAAATAGGTAACAAAAATATTATGTAAAATTTACATTTATAGTACATTAGATTCCCGATTTACGTCCTAAATGCTTTCCAAAATTTTAAGTTTGTAAAACGAAACGACGTAAAAATTAAAAAAAAATTTAATTGCATATGTATTATATTTAAATTAAAATTGTTAGCAGCAATTTTTTAAATTAATATTAATAAATAACAGGATTCTAAACTTCCAGATAGAAAATTTTTTAACAATTAAGATTTAAGTTGAAATGTAATTATATTTAGAACCACTTTCCATGTGGCACATACATACATGTGGCAAACTTTATGGAAATAAGAAATAAGTAAAAAATAAAGTTGGGTCAAACCAATGGTTTGTATTGTAGCACTTTTTTCTTCAACAAGTGAAAATACTGCTATGAAAAACAGTCTATGTATACTCGTACCTATCACACTATTAAAATTATTGTCATTCACATACAAAACTATTACTAAAATTGTATATATTTAGGATGAACGATTTAGGCAGTATTTCAAATAAAGCAAAAATTAATATAAAGTGGGATTAACATAATACTTGATTTTAAGGTTTAATTGTGTGAGTTAAGAAAAATAATTATATTTTTTAATGTCATGGAATTTACCGTTAGGTTTTTGCGTTTATAGAAATTTAAAAAGCTTGCGGTTTCGGAAATATAAGGTGTCAAAAATTCAAATTTTACAAATTTCAAGAAGCGATAACTTGAGAGGGGGTGGGGATGGAAAAAAATTTTCTTCTTACGAAATAAACTGTTTGTTAGTATCTAAAAGCTACTAAAATTTCAGGCTCTCACAACCTGGGGTCTAGAAGAAAAACAACATTAAAAATTTGAAAAAAAATCGGATTTTATATAACGGTAAACTTGAACGGCCATTTTGTTCTTTTAAAGTTCAAGTATAACATGCCGCGATAGAAGAAGCAACCCGCTGCCTTTATGCGTTTGCAAAATTTCAAAAATGCTTATGGTTTCATTGGAACAAATAGTTAAAAAAAGCCATATTTAGGGTTTTGGGGGAATATAACTTCTAGAGGGGGGGAGATAGGTAAAAATTTTGTTCTATGGAAATAAGTTTCTAGTAAATATCTATGTACGTATTAAATTTCAGCTTTCTATCTTCAAGGGTGTAGAAGTTTTGTAAACAAAATAGTGTCCACGGACGAACGGACGGACGGACGGACGGACGGACAGAGTGAAACTAATAAGCACTTTTTTTCAAAAAATTTTTGGGAAAGTGCTAAAAGCACAAACGAACTTATTATTTGGTTATTAAACGAAAATAATTTTTTGGAACGAATCAGTCATAATGACTATGTAGTCTCTCATGCATTTTACTTCGTTGCCAAGTTTAAGTTAATTGAAATGTGTATAGATATTAAGAATACAAAGAAAAGTACCAAAGATAAATAGTTTAGATTTGAGAATAATTTTTAAATATACAATGACTTTGTACTATAGTTTGAAATCAAATACAAAAATATTGCGATCTACAAGAAAAATTTACGAATCTATAGTTCTAATATTCAAGCAAATAATATTTATTTTAAATTATAAATAATTTAATATTCACCAAACACATACAAAATGCAATCAACCTGGTTCTTTTTAAGAAATATTAAAGTCTAGTAAATATTGGGAAGTGACAATTTTTGCTTAATAATTTGATTTTATATTTTATACTACTTCAATTAAGTACAATCAAATTTTGTAAAATAATTATTATGTATATAAGGTTTGGTTCTTATTTGTCCCCTTATTTTAATAACTTAAATTTTACTTTGTAATTATATGCAATTAAGCACTATTTTCAATATTACTATTAATCATTTGTTATTATATACGTTTATTGCTCTTATTAACATTTCATCTTATTAACATTTTATTACTATACAATATTTCAATACTATATTATATTTGAGTAATTTGACTGATAAATTAATGTTATTTGAAATTAGCACATTTAGTTTTTTTCCCATTTGGAAGAATTATAATTTATAAAAGGCATTATACAAGATACAAGAATTATCGGAGATAAATATTTATGCATACATGAAGAGAGTTAATTTAGTTAAAAAAATTTATTAATTTTTTTGTAAAAAATTATGAGCTTTTATTATGAACCTGAATGGACAATGAACAATCAAACAATGAAAATCATACAGGCTTCATTATCAAAGAAAATTATTAAAATTATCAAAAGAAAATCCACTTAAAATTAGCTTATAAGAAAACTCAATTTTAAAAAAAAATTTTTTTCGGCATTCAAAATATATTGCACACAATAATTAAAATTTCCATACTTATTACCATGAATAAATATAATAAACTTATATTAAAACTTAACCATGAATTAATTTAAAAAAAATTTTTGGTACACTCGAGCCCCAGTGTACGACTTTTTTTACCGA